AAACTGCTACTTTCTACACATCTGTGAGAGTTCTGAAGATCAAGGGAAGGTGACTGGAGTTCCAGTTGTTGAAGAACGCGAAGTTCTTCGTTGATCTACAAGAGATAGACGAATTCATAAAGTTAGGAGTTGCTGCAGGAGCGCGCAATCCAGGAGGGTTTTGAAAACTGCAGCTGGGAGTTGGTGCAGGAGTACGAAATCTAATAGAGTTGTAGGAATAGCAGTCACGAGGTCAGAAAGTACTAATGGTAGTCAAGTCTGGAGGACTGTACATTCTAATTCGCTTATAGTGGACTGTTGACTGGTAAAGTGCCCAGAGTTTTTACTCAGTTGAAATTTCTCCGTGATCATATATTGTGTTATTTATTGCTTTCATATAACTGTAGTATTTCAACATAGGAAAAATTGGACTGTTTGATTAATCATCTAGAGATAATTAATAGTGACTTGTTACTTATTAATTATTAAGTTTTAATTCTGTATAATCACATATTAACCCCCTCTAGGTGTCGTTTGGGTCGAACCTTGTTATTTCAATTGGTATCAGAGCTTTATTTCGATTCCTAACCCTTAATTAAGTCTAGATGAGTCAGTCCTTATCCGTGCCTCCGTTTTTTGATGGAAGCAACTATACTTATTGGAAAGTTCGAATGAGAGCTTTTCTTAAAGCATTGGATGAGTGTTCAAATTGGGTGGATTGCACCTTCAACCACTGTTGCTGGTGTAGCTGTACCCACTAATATTTCACTTTGGACTAAAGATGACTTAGCCGAGTGTAACTGGAACAGTAAGGGTCTTCATGCACTGTTCATGGCTATGTCTGTTTAATAAGAACAAAGGATTTGGGATCTTGTTCCTGAACCTGCATATGTTTTTGCATAGGGATCAAGAAACCACTCGAGGGACTATCCGGAAAGAGAAAGGTAGGTAAGTCACTGGAGGAAAACAATGGCAATGCTGGTACTTTTATTGAAACCAAGGGATCCATTCGGCCATGTATACCTTCTTGGCTATTGAAGAAACGGTGATAAATGGTAAAAGCAGTTGCACACTGTATAAAAAGAAAAGCAGACAGTACTTGAAGTTCACGCGCCACCACAGCCACCCAAGAAATGAGGATGGTGCACACTAGAAAGGTCACATGTTGGCCCTTGGCTAAAAACTTATTTATAAGATTCATGAGATTTTTTGAGCCGATGCTCCTCAAGCTCTCAACATAGCTAGAAAAATCATTGAGGGATTGGTAATCATCATCATTTTCATTGGAAAAAGAGGCATACGACAATCCTTTGATGGTTGGGAGAAATTTCATGTGTTTGAGGCCACAGTTTGTGGTGACTATGGTGACCTTTACACCATTGTGTACGAGGTTTTTAGCTAGGTGAAGAGAGGATTCATATGGTTTTGAAAAGGGAAAAAGACGATGAGGAAGTGATAGGAATTCATTACTTTTGCTTCATCTCGATCCATTTCTTCTTGAAATGTTGTTTAGCACTACTAGTGTTAGAGCACTAGTCTAGATGGTCATAATAGATAGATTTAATTAAATGAATTATGTGACATTACATTTAAGCTAATCTATCATTTAATATTATATAATTGCCACATAAACTGATACTTGACATCAATGGTATTGAATAACATTATTTTTCTTGAATAATGTTGTCTAGCACTATTGGTGCTTAGATGTGTTCAAACTTGATAGGTTCAATTAAATGAATTATATGTCATTGCATTTAAATGAATTTATCATTTAATGCTATGTAGTTGCCACCTAAAATGGTGATGGATAGCATTACTTTTCTTGAATAATGCTATTTAGCCCATTGGCAATAGAGCACTAGTTTAGGTGGTCGAACTTGATAGATTAAATTAAATGAAATATATAACATTACATTTAAGTAAATATATAATTTAATGTCAAGCAGTTTCCACCTAAATTGGTGCTTTACACCGATAGTGCTGAATAACATTACTCTTCTTGAATAATGTTATTTAGAACCACTGTGCTAGAATACTAATTTAGGTGGTCAAACTTGAGTGTTCAATTAAATGAATTATATGACATTGCATTTAAGTGAATATATCATTTAATGTCATATAGTTGACACTTATACGAGGGCTTGACGTTGTGGTGCAGAATATCATTATTCTTCTCGAATAATTCTATTTAGCACCATTGGTATTAAAGCACCAGTATATTTGGTTAGACTTGATTGATTCAATTAAATAAATTATGTGACATTACATTTAATTGAATCTATTATTAAATGTCGTGCATTTGATACCTAGACTGATGCTTAACATTGTTACTGTTGAATAACATTACTTTCTTGAATAATGTCATCTAATACCATTGGTGCTAAAACACTAGTTGAGATGGTCAGACTTAATAAGTTTAATTAAATGAATTATGTGACGTTGCATTTAAGCGAATTTATCATTTAATATTATGTAATTGCCACCTAAATTAGTGCTTGACACCGTGGTGCTAAATAGCATTACTCTCGCTTAATAATGCTATCTAACACCATAGATATAAGAGCACCAAACTAGATTGTCAAACTTGATAAGTTTCAATTAAATGAATTATGTGACATTGTATTTAAGTGAATCTTGTATTTGCCATCTAAATTGGTGCTTAATACCCTTAGCACTAAATAACATTACTCTTTTTTCTTTGGTAATTGCAAGTGGTTGATGTTAATTATACTCGATTGTCGTACTTGCATTTGTTAATGGATGATAAATTATTTTATAATATTTTTATATATCTAAACATGTCACGAGTATTGTTTTTTATATTTGGAAATTTCTTAACACAGCACTCATGTACCTCAAAATGTATTTTATACTAAAAATGAATATTTAAAAATAATATAAGTCCAAAATTGCACCGAGGTCTTCAACTTATAGCATTTGTTTCTTTATATCAAATTATTTTCTTAACCATTCAAAATTATTTTCGTTCATTTGATAGTTAAATAATTAAGTTTAATTAAAAAGACCATAATACTATTAAAATCTGAGATTCTACACCAAAAAGCCAACTTCAAGAAAACGAAAGTAATAGAGCAATAGAGAGTTATATTTTAAAAAAAAAATGAAATATGGTCAAGGACACCAAATGCTCACCATATTCAAGTTTTCATTATCTCTCTCTTTTCAGATTCATATCTTTATAGAAGTTTCAGAATTTAATCTTCGAATATTTAAAGTAATGCAACGTTTTCAACATTCGGGAGTGTTAGGTCTAAAGTGTATTGACAAGTTCCTTGTCTAAAATATCATTTAATTGAGTTTAATTAAGGTTGAGTTGTTGGGGGTTGGGAGTGTCTTTGGAAGGAGTTAAAGTCAACACAATAAGACCAAGTCGCCTAAAAAATGCTCGACATCCGTCAGAGGAGCGCTCGAGCGAACTAGCCACCACTCTTCGCCCACTAGATCTATGCTCGAGCGGACGTTTTATTCAGCTGACCATAGTTCACGATTTTAAACAGTTTTTACAATCTCTTTCAACCTCAAATACTTCATAAATTTGATTATTGAACTTCTTCACTTCACTTTTCACTTGTAGGTCATCCATTGTGACTTGGATAAACTTGTTATCCAACAAGTTTAATGCTTCACATTTTCACTTTGTGTACAAATTCAGGAAGCTCGAAAAATTTTGTCCCCGACCATCTTACTCTAATACCAAATTGTTGAATTTAAACACTAAAAAATAGAATTTTATTGATGAATGGACTTGCACAATTTTGGACACACACCAATGCCACTAAACACTATAATATTATTTACCAAAAGAAGACAACACTAATACAACTTTTTTGCTTTAATTTACTCTCTCAATTATTCTTGCTTTCTCTCCTCAATTCTCTCTCACTGTAATCCTCCACCAACTCTTCGTGCCAGTGGCGGAGATAGGGAAGCCCAACTTCTGTAAAAAAAAAAAAATTGGTTAAAACCCATTTTTTTCCATTGTCCAACCCAGTAGACCCCCGTACCCTTCACTTCTAGCTCCGCCCCTACTTCGTGCACTCTTTCTCACTCTCTCACGCACGCACATGTTACAAATATGGAAATAATACATGTTGTAAGTCGACGGTCCACCTCCTCGTTGGAGTATATGTAATATGATTTTGCGCTACTTGTACATTCATGTTTACCACATGGATGACAAAATGCAAATGTGGCATTTTTTATTTTGTTGTGTGTATAGAAACTATGCACACAGAAAACTGCCAGAACACACACAACACAGGTGGGGCCCACCTCCATGTGAGTTTTCTGTTAAACTTTTATAGGGGATTTTTCTGTACAAATGACAAAATCTCATTTTTTAAATGGTTGGTGGACAAAAAACAAAGTTCCACCAGCCAATGAAGAAATGTCACATCTGTAATCTGTCACCCAGGTGGTAAGTTTGGGTGTACATGTAGCATTCTATTTATGTCTATATCTAGATACATCCATACAGGGTGGTGATGACATGATTCCTAAGCAATTGGATTCTTCTAGACATGGATGCAAAAGAAAAAATATAGAAATCAAAATAATTTAACTCAGTGATGATTCCTCGTTCCGTTGGTGGAAGTTCAATGGGAACATATGCGGTTTGTTGCTGAACATCGAGAACAAATCTCATGTTACAAAAATAAAAAAAGAAATCTCGTGTTTTTATCTCTGCACATTTTGCTTGGTGTTCTCTAATATTGGGTTATTTGTGACATTCACTTTAGAAAAATTCATACAAATTCTCTCGTCTAATGAATGCTAGAGGCGTATTTTCACATTCCTTAGGATTCCTAAGGGTTATTCTGCTTGTCCGGGACCCATGTGGCCATAGACAAACAAGGGCGCCAAGTGGCGTCCCTTATAGGTGGGGGTCACACCTAGACATATAGCAGGGTACGAAGTAAAATTAACCAAATAAACACTTACAAATCCCCTATAATCAATTAATAAAAACATCATAAATAGCATTTCCAAGTTATTTACTATCCTGAGATCTCCAAAAGTTTTTTGAGATTGTTGTAGGTAGAACCCCCTTCTTTAACAGCTTCGATAGCCAAACCTCTCCATTTACGAGCATTTCCTCTCATTTCTTTACCTCTATCTCCATCCCCCATGACAATGTCCAAGCATTTCTTGATTTCATCTCTTTCAATAATACTTTCCCCATTTGCTTTTGCTCTCACACCTGTGCCCCAAACCTCATCCACCATCTTCGCATTCGTCGTTTGATCTGCGAACTGTGGGCAGCATATGATTGGTACTCCAGAAACAATACTTTCTAGTGTTGAATTCCATCCACAATGTGTCACAAAACACCCGATAGACCGGTGGCTTAGCACTTCTACTTGAGAACACCATGGCACTATTATCCCATCTCCATTCAGACTATTTTCCATCATTTTATGCATTTCCTCTTCTTCACTGTTTGATGATCTGAGGACCCAAAGAAAAGGCCTCCCACTCTCCACTAATGCATGCAATATCTCTTCTTTTTGCTCTTTCTTTAACACTGCCAAGCTTCCAAATGACGCATAGATCACTGAATGCTCAGGCTTCGAGTCTAACCACTGAAAATAATCATCAGATACACTAAATAAATCGAGTCCAAATGATTTGTCTGTTAGGTCACTTCCATCACAGAAAGCCGATGGCATTAAGGGTCCAACTGCAATAACATTCATATTGGCTATAGCTTTGATTGATTCTTGTTCTAATTCTTCAAAGGTATTAACAAGAACAAAGGATCTGGGATCTTGTTCCAGGACCTGCATATGTTCTTGCATCACAGGGATCAAGAAACCACTCGAGGGACTATTCGGAAGGAGAAAGGTGGGTAAGTCACTGGAGGAAAACAATGGCAACGTTGGTACTTTTATTGAAACCGAGGGATCCATTCGGCCATGTATACCTTCTTGGCTATTGAAGAAGCGGTGATAAATGGTAAAAGCGGTTGCACACTGTATAAAAAGAAAAGCAGACGGTACCTGAAGTTCACGCGCCACCACAGCCACCCAAGGAAGGAGGATGCTGTACACTAGAAAGGTCACCTGTTGGCCCTCGTCCGAAAACTTCTTGATAAGATTCATGAGATTTTGGGAGCCTATGCTCCTCAAACTCTCAACATAGCTATAAAAACCATTGTGGGATTGGTAATCATCATCCTTTTCATTGGAAAAAGAGGCACACGACAATCCCTTGAGGGTTAGAAGAGATTTCATTTGTTTGAGGCCACGGTTTGTGGTGACTAAGGTGACCTTTACACCATTGCGTGCAAGGTTTTTGGCTAGCTGAAGAGAGGGATTGATATGGCTTTGGAAAGGGAAAAAGAGGATCAGGAAGTGATGGGAGTTCATTACTGTTGCTTCATCTCCATTCATTCCTTCTTTATTAATGGAGCATAAGACAAAATTTCTAAACAGGTGACAGAGTCACGAGTATGTTTTTAGATTTAACCCCGGATTATTTTCCCAATGGCTCACCATAGTACTCACATGGGTGGACCCTAACATGTATTAAAAAAAAATTATGCACGAAATTCACACGTGTGAGTGTCCAGTAAGTGATCTGTGAAAATTTTCAGTAAAGCATGTTTCATATTTTTATATTTGGATATGGCTCAACATAGCGCCCGTGCTCCTCCTCAAAAATGTATTTTATACTAAAAAATATAAAGCGAAAATTGCACTGAGGTCTTCAACCTATAGCATTTGTTTCTCAAAAGTTTCTTTATATCAAAGTATTTTTCTTGACCATTCAAGTCTTTAGTGATTTAACTTTCGAAGAATTTGTTTTCGCTCATTTGATAGTTAAACAATCAAATTTGATTGAAAAGACAATAATACTATTAAAATTTAGTGTTCCATGTTGTACATTTATTTAGAGTGTTTGGTGGAAATTAAAATTAGATTTTTAGTAGATTGTAGAAGTTTTTGAAATATGTGGTTGAAAAGTTGAGAGACTCGTGAAAGATGTGGTTAATATTGATTGTTTGACTTTAAATTTGATTAAAATTAGATTTTAATCTGACCAAACAGGGGCTTAATCTTTATTAAGCCAATATTTGATAGAAATTAAAATATAATTTTTTTTATCAAAGTCAACGATTAATTTTAATTACATATTTTATAGGATTCACAACTTTTTAACCACATATTTCATTAATTTTTATCAAAATTCACTGAAAATCTAATTTTAATCTCCACAAAAGAGGGGCTAAATGTAGTTTTTACTTGGGTTTTTTTTTTCTTTCTTTATGTTTGTCATTGGATTTATTTATTTATATTATATTCTAGCTAGGTCCTTTCATTAAGTGCTTATAAATACCTTTCAAATAGTGAAATATGTGAGACATGGACAAAATTTTGTTTGATAGGGACCAATGTAATATAGATTTAAAAAATTGAGGACCCAATTCCACTCAAATATTGTTAAGGACACTATTGCAAAATTTCAATGGTTTGAAAACTTGTGCTCTATTTTTTCCAAAATCATAAACACTATCCAATACGTTCTACTTATATATACATGAGTTAATTGTTTCTAACTACGTTACAACATAAGTTATACTAAAAAAAAAAAGGATGAGCTGCATCCTTGATGGCCCCCATCTCTCTGTAATGGGTCTGGTGAATGAGGTAAATTGCAGGTTATATCTCCAATAGTACAGGGTGGAAGGCTGCTTGTACACTTGTACTTACCGAATGGTCAAATCTATATTTTAGGATTCGAACCCTTGACGCTGCAGCCTCAAGCAAAGCTGGAGTTTTTCAATCTTCCTCTGTCATGGGTCTTAGTGAATGAGGTAAATTGCAGGTTATATCTCCAATAGTACAGTTGTAGAAGGCTACTTGTACACTTATACTTATCGAATGGTCAAATCCATATTTCAGGATTCGAATCCTTGACACTACAGCCTTAAGCAAAGCTGGAATTTTTCCATCTTCCTCTTTTACCACTTGGAGATGTGCCCTGGAGGCACAATGTAAGTCATACTATTGTTGATATAACCCTTGTTTGAACTTCATTTTTCTATCAAAATGCATTTTTGAACAGTTATTTGATTCTATTTCAATCACACATTTTTCAATAAAATAATATTACAATTCAAATTGAAAGCTTTTTCTTATTTTTTAACCACACATTCTTCATCTTAACACTATTACAATATGCATTTTTTGGTAAAAAAATGGGGCTCAAACGAACCCTCAGAGTCATTAATTTTGATATTTTTGTTGAATCATTTAATCACATGTAATTCATTCTTGTTATCTATGTAACAGTTCAATTTTAATTTTTTCACTCTTGAGAAAGAAATTTACTTATTTGATCATGAAATAGATTATTATCAAAATATGTAACTTGATCTATACTTCAATAAAGAGAAATTTGTTAAATTTCAATGTTAAATGTGATTTTAGCGACGAATATTTTTTTAGATAGTAAGCAATATTTAGCAACGAATATATTATTTTATTTTTATTATTAAAAGAAGTTTGTACAACGAACTTTCTTTATGTTGAAAACATCAGCAATGGAAATTTGATAGTCAAAATTTAGAACACAACAACAAAAGTATGCCGTATTTGAATGCAAACTTTCAACGACAACTTTAAAGTTTGTGGTTGATTTTTGAGATGGCCTTTTTGAAGACGATGGAAGGAGGATTTTTCGTTTATCAAAATCAAAATCACACGACTCATTAACTTTATCAAAATCTACTAAAAATCTGATTTTAATTCTCACCAAACCGAGGCATAGTTTAATAATTTAAAGTTAATACAATTGTGAAGGGTAAAATGGAAAATTTAAATTAGTTTTTGAGTGAAAATAGGAATTTGTGCAGGAAAAAAAAAAACTCTGAATTATGCGTTTTTTAATGCCGATATTGTTAGCTAGATGAGATGATGTGCGTACACTTTCAATTCAACTAAGCCATTAGAGAAATAGCATACAAACTTAGGGTGAAGATTTAATAGAAAAATATCTTAGGGTGAAGATTTTTGCACTACCATCTAGGAAAAAAATATAGCAATATATACGAAACTTTAAAAAAGACACACATGACATGTACCTAATGAGAAAACAAAAGATAACTAATCCAATCGATGGGAGATTAAACTTCCTCGTTATAATCCTCATCATCATGCGACGAGTAAGAACTATTGCAAGAATATGGTCGCTTTCATAAACAGTTTCTTCACGGAGTATGCCATTGTATGTCAATATTGCTTTGCTTCGCTTCCTCTACCTTTCCATCCAAGGAGTACTGTACTATCCTGTAATCTCCAAAAGCTTTTTAAGATTGTTGTAAGAAGAACCCCCTTCTTTAACAGCTTCTATAGCCAAACCTCTCCATTTACCAGCATTTCCTCTCATTTCTTTACCTCTACCTTCATCCCCCATAGCAATGTCCAAGCATTTCTTGAATTCACCTCTTTCAATTATACTTTCCCCATTTGCTTTTGCTCTCACACCTATGCCCCAAACCTCGTCCACCATCTTCGCATTTGTCGTTTGATCTGAGAACTGTGGGCAGCCAATGATTGGTACTCCAGAAACCATACTTTCCAGTGTTGAATTCCATCCACAATGTGTCACAAAACACCCTATAGACCGGTGGCTTAGCACTTCAACTTGAGAACACCATGGCACTATTATCCCATCTCCATTCAGCCCATTTTCCATCATTTTATGCACTTCCTCTTCTTCACTGTTTGATGATCTGAGGACCCAAAGAAAAGGCCTCCCACTTTCCACTAATGCATGCAATATCTCTTCTTTTTGCACTTTATTTAACACTGCTAAGCTTCCAAATGACACATAGATCACTGAACGATTAGGCTTCAAGTCTAACCACTGAAAATAATCTTCAGATTGACAGAATAAATCTCCACCAAATGATTTGTCTGTTAGGTCACTTCCGTCACAGAAAGCTGATGGTATTAAGGGTCCGACTGCAATAACATTCATATTGGCTATAGCTTTGATTAATTCTTGTTCTAATTCATCAAATGTATTAACAAGAACAAAGGATCTGGGGTCTTCCTCTAGGACATGTATGTGTTCTCGCATCATATTGATCATGAAACCACTAAATGGATTATCCGGTAAGAGAAAGGTGGGTATGTCGCTTGAAGAAAACGATGGCAACCCAGGTACTTCCATGGAAAGCAAAGAATTCCTTTCGCCATGTATACCATTTTGGCTATTCAAGAAGCGGTGATAAATGGTCAAAACGGTGGCACATTGATTAAAAAGAAAAGCAGATGGTACCTGAAGGTCACGTGCCACCCCTGCAGCCCAAGGAAGGATTACGCTGTAAACTAAAAGGGTGACTGGTTCCCCATCGGCCAGAAACTTTTGCAGAAGATTGCTGAGATTTTGGGGCCCTATGCTCCTCAAGTCGGCCATGGAGCTTAAAAAATCTTTCTGGGTATGGGATTCGTCATTGTCCTGACCATCCAAAATGGAAGCATACGACAACCCCTTTAAAGTTGGAAGAGATTTTATTTGTTTGAGGCCGCGGTTAGTCGTGCATAAGGTGACTTTGGCACCATTACGTACCAGGTTTTTGGCTAGTTGGAGCGACGGATTGATATGGCCTTGGATAGGGAAAAACACGATGAAGAAGTGATGGTTGTTCATTGATGTGGCTTGTTGCTCTTGCTCCATTTCTTCTTTGGTAATGGAATGGGAATATTGTAATCAATTTATAGCTATTATTTTCTTAAATATTGTCATATGCTTTTTGAATTGAATAATGTTGTCAACGCGTATGGTGTATAATATCAGTCTAAGAGGCTACTGTACATGATAAATTATATTATGCCTTGTTTGGTTTCAATTTTTTAAAATCATAATTATTTCTCAAACTCATTTTTAATCATACATTATAACTTTTATCAACTTTTCGTTTCTCACTTCTCATCAAATTTTATCAAAATCTACTAAAATTTAACCAAGCCAAACATGAGTTATAATAGCCACAAATCCTTACATTTAATACAATCTTAGACTGAACATCGTATTGTCAAATAGCAATAGTCGGACTTACTTTATGAAGTTCAATTATAGTGGGACCCACATTGGAGAAATTATGGAAATTCATCCCTCCAAGCGGATAAAGACTTAAAACCTATTCATCTATCCTGTCCCCCGCAGACAATTGATGTGAATTGTTCAATAACCAATTTGAGTTTGACTAATCAAAGCATAATTTGGCGTGGAAAAGAGGGTATTTCTTTGTCCCTACACCAAGAAACGACCATAAATTTTGACTAATAAAACAAGAAACTTGGAGGACAAATTTAAGTTGGCCATCACGGCTTCACTTGACCAATGAAACAAAATAAGAGGACATATTTTGCCAGCTTTTGACTCTATAAAAATGAATTAAGTTATGGGCAAATTTTGCAAGAGAAGGGGGCAATTATGCTTGACAAAGCTTAAATATACTTGAAACAAAAATAAGAAAGCAGCAATGAAAACGGCAGTGCGAAAAGCTTTGGTTTTCCACTTTTTTCAAGCCAATATATAGATAATATTAGGGGTTAGGTATTGGAAAAAATTGAGTTTGTAGGTGACTTTGGCACGAATTTTGTGCGAAACCCGTTTGGCTATTTTGGAAGATGAAAGTTGATTTGTTTTATCCTCCGTGAGTACATCAAAATCATATACTTACTTGTCAAAAATGATGCTCAAGTGAATGAGAAATTGAAGCTCAAAGTATGTCATGTGAATGGAGTTTATGTTGGTGGGAAAACTAAAAATAAGTTTGTCCCACATAGAAAGTGGATGAAAACTAAAACCACTTTATAAAGGATTGCACTTTAGAATTGTGTAATCATGTGTAGCATAGAGGCTCTCTCCACGTGCGCGCGCAGGGGGTGCAAATCACGGACCGAAATAGGCATAGGGCCTTGAACTTGTATGCGGGCGAGACCTGCGTACACAAAGTAAGTGGGAAAGTTATAAGATCCAAAATCTATATATATCTCGATTTAATTAGATATAGAAAATAATAATAATAACAATAATAATAATAATAAGGGGCCTAGTTAAAGCCACAGCCACGAACCTTGGTTCCATGCTACAAAGGCTGGCCACAGCATGGAGTTAACTGCTTCTCGCTCCTAACCGAGACCAATAGCTCAAAAGGGACGGACCCATCACAAAATTTCAGCACGGGTGGACTGAATGTTGATCGTTGATAATATTAAAAATTATTCAAAACAAAATGCCCAAAACTTTAAAAAAAAGAGGGGGGGGGGGG